TTCAGTACATCCTGTGTAACATTTTATTTCTGTTTCGCAAGAGAAAAGTATACATCAGCTTACCTCTTATAATTGGGTATAAGATGATCGATCGATTGCTAACTTTTTAGTTCGCAGACAGAAAGACTCGAAGTGTCCTGTAGAAGAGGAACATTTATGTAGGCACGTAATAAGACTATCGTTGATCACGTGAGAAACTCCTCACGTGCAGTTCACTGACAATAAGAGGATTACGACAAGCTACAAATCAAATAATAAGTAATATCTAATACATGGATAACATATTTCTACGTGTACGTGTTAGTATCAGAGTAAGTTTCAGATATGTGAATGAAAGCAAAATAAGTTGTATTTAATCAGTAGCTCTCTCGTGGCCATAGCTTGTAACCAACAGCTGCGATCTTGTGGTTGATGCTGTAAAAGACGATTTCATGGTCCGATCCAAATAGCTCATAAATCAGCGTTTCCTTGACAACCGTAAGAAATGTCCACCACAAGTAAGCCAAGCACACAACATGTAGTGCTGGGGTCGTTTTATTGTACAGAAGAAGAAGGAGGAAGCTTTTAGTGGTATACGTCACAAATTAATCGAAACAGTAAAAGTTTTTAAGTAGATTAGTTCGTCTTGATATGAGGTTGAAAATATGGATATACATGTATGAAAAATATCTTCATATGGCCACGTCACAGACAACACAGATCAAACAGTGGCTGAGATACGAGGTGATGTGTTGAACAAAAACCTCGAGAAGAAACTTCAGAAAAACAACAAACAGATCTTGTGAATGTACATAAAAACTTCAGAAAATGAGAGAAGGTACAGAAGCGAATGATCGTTTTGTGAGATAGATAGAAGAGAAAAAAAAAACGCAAACACACAAGATAAAATTTACGTGTCATGAATTAGAACAACATAGAAGAATATATTAAAGTTGGATTGAAAGTTTCAGTAAGGGGAATTGAAAAAATAAACTATATTTGATAGACTTTAAACACTTGTTTGATTAGACGATGCAATTATAATGTTTTTCTTTCTTTCTTTTCCTTTTCTATCTTTGATTAGAGACTATTCGTTTGTACATTGCATACAAGCACGCCTTTGAAAGTTTGGCTGGAAGGTGTTTTAGACATTAAGGACTGTTTGTGTGTTTGTTTCTTTACACTTTCATGCAAAGCTAGACAAGCTTTAACTATTTTTCTTCTTTCTACTCTTAGTTAAAGTTCACACCTCCTTATTGTTATTCAAAACGGTTTTTGGCACGTTGCAACTAATTAATAAAAACTTTCAATAATTTATGTGCTATGCTAATTTGTAATGCAGCTTTAATAATACAAGTATAGGCCCCCCAGTGGCACAGCAGTATGTCTGCGGACTTACAA